CAAGTGTTGCTAATCCAACTGACCTCATCAAGAATGCTATCCCACCATGTCCTCTCATCCCTCCCACAGGGGGCTCATCTGGATCAATTACATGTCCTGCGGTTGGTATCAAATTAACCGGAGACAATTACATCATATGGAAGGTACGCCTCCTCCCCTTTCTTCGGGCCAGTCGACTCCTGTCAATTGTGGACGGAACCAAACCATGCCCTCCACACACTATCACTGAAATTAGTGAGAATGGTGTCACCAAAAGTTCACCAAATCCAGCATATGAAACATGGTTTACCCGAGATCAAATTGCCTTGGGGTGGATTCTCAATTCCACAGCTGACAACATCGTTGCACAGCTCTCCAATTTAGGCTCTTCAGCAGCCGTATGGTCCTTTTTGGCTCAATCATATGAAGCACGTAACAGTGCTCGCGCCACACATCTATGAATGCAACTTCAAACTCTCCGCAAGGGAAATCAAACAATCACGGAATATCTACAGCAAGCAGCCTTCCTTGTTGATCAACTTGCCTCGATTGGTGAGAACATCTCTTCACAAGAATATCAAACTCATCTGTTCAGGGGACTTGGAGCGGAATATCAAAATTTAGCAGTGTCAATCTCCGTTCAAAGTCAGTACCAATCCCTTAAATGTGAGTCTCTACACGGGCTGCTCTTGGCTCATGAGGCACGACTTGATTTGCTTGAGCCCATCACCTCCCCTCTAGCAGCGCTCATGACGCGGACAGCACACCAATCACCTCAACAGCTTCCTTCTCGTGTGGATAGGTCACCACGGCCTGGGCAACAATTTCCGCAAAGTGGACAGCACTTTGGCCCTCGAAATTCAGCCCCAAATTACTCTCTAAATGCAGGAAATTACAGAAATCAAAGGAGGGGTAGTGTTCGATGTCAAATCTGTAATCGTTTTGGCCACCGAGCCAATGTGTGCCGAGATCGTGGGCCTCCACCACAATCTTTAGGCTCGGCACCACAGCTCCACATTGCTGAAATTCCACCACCACCATCAGTCTTTTCGGACCCGTGGTATCCAGATTCCGGTGCTACACACCACGTCACAAATAATCCATCTCAATTGTCCTCTCTTCAGCCCTACATAGGCAACCAACACGTTACCATAGGTAATGGGTCTAGCCTCCCGATAACCCATACAGGTACTCTTGTTTCTCAAAATTTTCGTTTGTCCAATGTCCTAGTTGTTCCCTCTATAAAGAAAAACTTACTTTCCGTTCGTCAATTTTCACAGGAAAACAATTGTGATTTCATTTTCTCACCTAATTGTTTTTCTGTGAAGTGCCGCCGTACGGGCAAGATTCTCTTCCAAGGGAACCTTAATCAAGGACTTTATCAACTGTCGGATCAATCCAAGCTTTCTCCTTCAGCTTATTACCTATCTCAGTCCAGCTCCCTTGTCCGTTGGCACCATCGTTTAGGCCATGCTGCATATTCTACGATTTCTCGCATGTTAAATAAGTTGTCAGTTGTTCAACCAACTTGCTCGGCATGTGCCTCTAGTAAGAGTCATCGTCCCACTTTTCATAGATCCAAGGCTCCCCTAGAATTAGTTCATTTTGACATTTGGGGGCCAGCTCCTGTAACGTCTCATCAAAATAATAAATATTATATTTGTTTTATTGATGATTACTCCAAATTTTCTTGGCTTTATATGTTCAACTCTCGTGATCAATTTTTACATATCTTCGTGGTCTTTCTAAACTTTGTTGAAAACCAACTCAATACCCGAGTTAAAGCCATCCAAAGTGACTGTGCGGGAGAATTTCTTTCTGCATCTTTTAAAAAATTATTGCAGGAGCGTGGCATTTATAAACGGACATCCTGTCCTCGCCTGGCCCTTCAAAACGGTTCGGCCGAGTGCAAACACAGACATGTGGTTGAAACGGGTTTGGCCATGATGCACCATGCATCTGTTCCCTCTCATTTTTGGGATTTTGCTTTTGAAAGTGTAGTTCACATTATCAACCGACTGCCTACTCCCGTTCTGCAGCAGCACAGCCCTTGGGAAGTACTTTTTTCTACCGCACCATCCATTGAGCATCTTCAGGTTTTTGGCTACGCTGTCTACCCGAACCTACGAACCTATGCCAAGCACAAACTCGAGCCCAGGTCACATCGATGTATTTTCTTGGGATATCCCTCAGGTGTCAAGGGCTATCGTTGCTATTCTCCACAACAACAACGGTTCTATACAGTTGCAGATGCCACCTTTGATGAGACTGTTTTTCCGTTTGCTGCTCCCGTCACCGACGAATCATCAAATGTGTCCCCACCAGCATCATTGGAGTTACCCCTTTATGTTCCCCCACTGACACATTTGCAACCTGATGATTCACATATGCAGGAGCCGAGGACTGATGCATCTCACATGCCGACACCTGTGCACGGCAATCCCTCCACCTCCCGCTCGATATCTCTCCAACTACACCAGAAGTGCCATCTCCTACCAATGAAGCTATCACACATACCACAATCCAGCAGGCTACCAATCTGCCACCACAAACGGCGCCACTAGCTCACCCCATGGTGACCAGACTTCGAGACGGCACCGTTCCCCACCGACATGTGCAAAAGGATCACACGTATGCACTCACCACTTTGGTAGCCGTCCCATCTACACCATCTTGTTACAGTCAAGCGGTAAATGACCCGCATTGGCGGGCAGCTATGGCCGAAGAGTACACCGCATTGCTAAAAAATCAGACATGGGAGCTTGTACCGTCTCCTCAGCACGGTAAGCCCATTGGCTGCAAATGGGTCTTTCGTATCAAGCTTCGTGCAGATGGCTCTGTTGAATGGTACAAGGCTAGATTAGTCACAAAGGGCTTTCATCAATAGCAGGGAATCGACTATAATGAAACCTTCAGTCCGGTGGTGAAACATGTCACGATTCGTACAGTCCTCGCAGTTGCTTTTTCTCGGGGTTGGCAACTCCGACAACTAGATGTCAAGAACGCTTTTCTCCATGGTCATCTCACCGAAGAAATATTCATGGATCAACCGCCTGGTTTCGTTGATCCCCACCATCCTCATCATATCTGCCGCCTAAAACGATCTCTCTATGGCTTGAAACAAGCTCCACGTGCCTGGCACCAACGTCTCAGTAATTTTCTCGTCTCCATAGGTTTTGTAGCTTCTACTGCTGACTCCTCACTGTTTATACTGCATACAGCCCAATACAGTATCTTCCTGCTCGTCTATGTCGACGACATCATTATTACAGGATCCCCTACAGCTCCATTGTTTACTCTCCTAGAGTCTCTACAAAAGGAATTTGCTATCAAAGACTTGGGTGAACTTCATTATTTTCTTGGAATCGAACTAAAACGCACTTCGGATGGTATTCTTCTTCACCAGACAAAATATGCAGCCGACCTTCTTGCCCGAGCAAAAATGCAGGATGCGAAGCCTGTCACCACCCCATGTGTAGCGGGCTCGGATATTCCATCTTCTCATTGTGGTGAGCTGTTCTCGGACCCGTCTCTTTATCGTAGTACTGTGGGTGCATTGCAGTATCTTACTCTCACTCGGCCCGACATTGCCTTCGCTGTCAACACTGCCTGTCAGTTCATGCATGCACCCACGGAGGTCCATTGGCAGTTTGTCAAACGCATATTGCGCTTCGTTCGCGGCACGCAAAGACCATGGCATACTCTTCACTGCATGCTGCAATTTCCATCTCCATGCTTTTTCCGATGCAAAGCTGGGCCGGGACCATGACACGAGACGATCAGTTGGTGGCTTTGGCATATTCCTTGGCTCAAATCTTATCTCATGGAGTTCCCGTAAGCAACGGACGGTTGCTCGATCCAGCACAGAGGCCGAATTCAAAAGCTTAGCCGACACAACTGCTGAACTCATTTGGATCGAGGCTCTCTTACGTGATCTCGGTGTTTCTTGGCAAGGCCCTCCGGTTCTTTGGTGTGACAACATCTCAGCCATTTATCTGACAGGGAATCCTATCTTTCATGCTCGGACAAAGCACGTGGAAATTGATTACCACTTTGTGCGAGAACGGATCGCCAAAAATCAACTTCATGTTCAGTACATCTCCACTACCGATCAACCTGCCGATATCTTCACCAAAGGGCTCTCCACGGCTCGCTTTCGACTTCTACAGTCCAAGCTTACTGTGTGTTCCGCCACATCAGCTTGCAGGGGGTGTCAAAGGAAACGATACTGTGCCCTGATTCAGCTACAATCTCTCCACCACTCGCTCATCAAGCAAGATCAATTCTTTCCAAAGAGAAGAGATCATGATTTTATTCTTCATTAATTCCGTAACCCTAGCTTGTATTATATAAAGACATCACAATGTGTAGCCGAAGAATGTAACAAAAAATTCTATTACTGAAACACAAAACACGTATTGGCAATTGCCACCCATTCTCATCTTATTAGTTCATTGTTTTACAGATTCAACAGTTCCTTAAAGCATGGTCACGCGGTTCAAGCCCCGTGACCAAGCTAGAGTAAGATCTGTTTGCCAAATGAAAGTTTGATGTCACGGACATCCGGATTTGTGTTTGCTTTGATACTTGGGGAGGTAGACCAATACGTGAAAGGTCTTCGTTTCTCTCTTCTTCTTTTTTCCTTTTTTAATTAGAACTGCAAATTATAGTATTACAGTATTTTCAACTCTCTCTCTCTCCCCACACCACAAAACCCCACCCCCCCTCCCCCCCCCTCCCCGAAGCTGAAAGACTTTGGAGTTTGGATTGCAGAAGATAGCCCGTAATTTCAACTACTTTTCTTCTCCTTCAATTCACACCAACCAAACGTGATTCTCCTCCTTCCGAGAAAGAGATATCCCAATTGGAGTGACTTTCACGCCCGTAGACACAGACTTGGGTGCGCCGAACCAAAGCTCTTGAGACGCAGAAAAGCTAATCCGAAATCAGTCAGCACCAAAAGAAATCTCATCAAGCTCGTACGATCCATTGATCTTGGACAAGCATCGTGTTATTGCAAAATGGTGTTCAAGTTCCGAACCTTCAGCTTCTCCAATCCCACTGAGGACGACCCAGCACTCCCTAAAAGTTTTTCACTGCAGGAGCTTCAAGACGCGACGCAAAATTTCAGCCGCGACATTGTCCTGGGCTGGGGTGGATTCGGCACGGTTTACCGGGGATACTTGGCCAATGGTTGTCAAGTGGCAGTCAAAAGGCCCAGGAATCTCGCACAGGGGACTGAGAAGCAGTTCAAAACAGAGATGGGAAGTGTCAAGCTTGATTTATATGCATCCGAATGTGCTACGCCTGGGGGCCTTTTGCAGGACCAAGAAAGAGCTTTTACTGGTCTATCCCCCGATGGTCAGTAGCAGCCTAGCATTTCACCTTAGATATATATATATATATATATATATATATATATATATATATATATATTGTTTTTTTGTCAGACACCTTAGAGATTTGCTCAAGCGTTGTGTAGGAAGCGAGTGTCGGGAGAATCGACTAACCTATTCGATGCACTACGAACAAAATTTCCAGGATCGTACGTTGAATCACCAGCAAACGATGAACGAATCTACTTCACGTTGGTCCGAATACAATCACAGGGAAAATATTCTTGTTCCACAGCGTTAATGCCGATTGTCTTCTTAAAGTAGATACGGAATCCTTATGCGTCAAGAGAGAGAGAGTTCTAATTATCTCTTGTTTATTGTTCATATTATGAGGAAGTTATCTTAACTTCCCTTAAGAAACTCCCTTCGTGCCTCTTCAAAAGGCGTCTCTCAGATACACTTATAATTAGAGCAAATGATGTCCCTTGGACACACTCATTATGGGCGGACCGACGAAATATAACATCTCACACTCGCACATGATGGGCTTGATCATGGTCTATCAAGAACATAAGGCATTCATCATTTATCTATTTTAGAAACAATTCATGTTGGCAAGAAAGCCGTGTGACCAGTGAGTACACATGCACTTGGAACCTCTAATTATGCACATGTTAAGGATAACATAATGGCTACAACCCCAAAAAAAGAAATAAACAATTGATGTCTCACAGTGCCCCAGACATATTTTGTTTCATCAGTCCAAGTATACCTATCCCTTAAAGGCTATACTTGACTATTCTCAAAGACACTATGAATTTACAATTATTTCCAAAACCATCGAAGGCGAAATAATTGATCGACCGGTAAATACATGTGATAGATGTAAAACAACAATAGTCTTCTTTCGCACTCATGTCTCTCTCCATTTATGAACAACTGCTTTCCTAGTCACGTCCCATAAAGCCATATCTATTCATGACCGCTGGTAACATGCTAAAGTAGCAACATTGATCTTCTACTTCGAGAACATAGTCAGAAGTAACATAGGACTTGCACGATGAATAAATAGGGATAATTGTAGTCATCTCCCTTATTGGTCAAATAAAGCACATGTAGTATGAATTACATGCTATAGTGGATTTCTCTTTCTATAAGAGCGTATGTCATTTATTAATCATATCCACTATACGAATCTTAGCCTAAATGTAGTCACATGCTTCTCACGTACTCATGTTTAGCCCGAGTGCTATATCAGCTCGCTTTCCACAGCGCCCAATTTAGTACTCGCATCTGGCTACCTTCAGGCATACATGATTGTGGGACTATCATATTCGGTCTTATCACATACGAATAACAGAACTCATCTTGATTCCAATCAAGGCGACATTAAATCATTTTATGTACTAAACTGCTCTTCCAGCATTTATAATACATATCGTCTCATCTCAACCCGCTTACTATAGCGTTTGAGATGATTGCTCGTGTGAGTGAGCCAATCATTGCCTGGTGACATAGCTTTCAACAATATATGTGTGTTTGTGCTAGTCTCATAACATTGTACTAATTGATCAAACATCAATTCATTAACAAACAAGTACAATACATATACACACATAATCCAATGATCCTCAACAATATTACATATCATAATCACATTCTACGTAATCCTAGAGACATCCTGTGGGTCAAGAACACGTCTCTAGGAACAGCCTTCGTAAATGGATCAGTAACCATCCTGTTAGTTGAAATATATTGCAGGACTGCTTCCTTCTGCGCTATTATATCTCTGATGAAGTTATTCTTTATGTCAATGTGCTTCGTCCTACCATGGTACTTGGGATCTTTCACATAGGCAATAGCTGCTTGACTATCACAATATACTGTCACTGGTCTTAAGACATCAGTGATAATGGCTAAATTTTCCAAGAAACGTTTTAGCCATACTGCTTCTTGCACTGCAGCAGAACATGCAATAAATTCTGCCTCCATCGTAGATAAAGCTATGCATGTCTGTTTCTTGCTATTCAGAAATTGCCCCGTCATTAAGCAAGAACGCATATCCAGACATCGATTTATGCTCATCTAGGTCTCCTCCCCAATCAGCATCAGAGTATCTTAATAAGCGTAGATCACTCCATTGATAGCAAAGTCGATAGTCCATAGTATCTTTCAAGTATCTCAGGATCCTCTTAACTGCTTTCCAGTGTGCTGGACCAGGATTTGATTGATATCGGCTCACTAACCCCACAGCATGACATATGTTGGGTCGAATACACATCATAGCATATATCAAACTTCCGACAGCACTAGCATAAGGAACAGTTACCATTTCTTTCTTTTCTTCTGGAGTCTTAGGACACATCTTAGTACTCAGGCCTTCGCCTTGCATGACAGGGGTATCAATGGGATTACAGTGCTGGATATTGAAGCGTTCAAGAATCTTCATTATATAAGACTCTTGTGACATAGCAAGAAGTTTATTTGATCGATCTCTTTTAATCTTGACTCTCAATATATATGCAGCTTCTCCCATGTCCTTCATTTCAAAGTTAGAGGACAACCATTCTTTTATGGTTATAACCAAACCCTTGTCATTCCCAGCCAACATAATATCGTCCACATAAAGAGATAAAATTATAAATTTATCCTCGGACCGTTTGATATACACACAGTGATCCTCTTCGATCATCGTGAACCCAAAAGAAGTCATGGCTCGATGAAAAAAAAAATGCCACTGTCTAGATGATTGCTTAAAGCCATATATTGAGCGATGAAGTTTGCAAATTGTGACCTTCTGAAATCTGACCCACTTGGGATTTATGAAATGAATAGTTTATAGACGTGCTTGTAGTTAGATCTCGCCCGAAATTAATCACTTTGAGAATACTAACCGTTAGGGAAAGGCTAATTAGGGATTTAAATTCGCGCAACCAAAGAACTTGATCGTGAACCGACTCTTGACCATGAAAATCGTCGAGGTGACATTTTGAGCCACTGTAGACTGATCCAAGGATAGCCAGGGATCAGTTCGCCACTGTCATATTAGTGGATCGCCGGTGATTCCACTGGACCACGAAATGAATTGACGAATGACCTCAAACCTATACCAAACGATCGTGCCCGTCGGATCTAGCGATCGATCCTCGCGATTAAGTGACAACCGAGGTCGTCACGACCCGAGTGAACTTGAATGTGGCTTGATTTAGTATCGGCCACGGGTCAGTAATGCGAATTTCCCCAAAAGCCACCCGTTAGTATGAGATATGCGCAAGCTATGTTATTCAGAACTTAGGCATTAATTAGAGACCAAGTTGGGCATTGAAATTTAGAAAGTCACGCCGGATCATTTGGACAATGTTGTCATTTGCCCGGGTAGCCTCGGATTTGTCCGAATCCTTCAGAAAAATTTAATTTCTGCGAGAAATGAAAAATGACCATTTTACCCCTGGAAATTTGTTAAGGCCAATGTAATTTGGGAAGAGCATTTTGGTAATTTCGCCCTAGCCTTAGAATTAGAGATTTTTGGACAATTTTGCCCTTGGACTTTTTGAGAAATTCCCAAATTGCCCTTGGATATTTTGGAAAAGATTTGATCCGGACCGTCGATTTCAAGATAAGATCGAATCTGGACCGTCGATTGGAATTGTGAGAGAAGGGCAAGATGGTCAATTGGCCCTTCAATTATTGACCTTGATTATTTAAACCCAAATCCTCTCTCTCTCTCTTCATTCTCTCTCTCTCTATCTCTCGGCTCCCTCCTCTCCCCTCACTGAATCGACCGCCCTTCCCCTTGCCGCGCTGCCGCTCGCCGGCCACCGCCCGCCGTGCCACCGCCGTCCCGCCACCGAGCCACCACCACCCTCACGCCGCCGTCCCTCTCTCTCCCCCTCTCCTTCTCGGCGACCTCTCTCTCTCTTCCCGTGGTCGTGAGTGACCGCAGCCAAGGAAGCCGTCACCACCGCAGCCACTCGCCGTTTGCGCGTGCCGCCGATCAGCCGTCCCCTTTCCACTCTAGCCGAGTTAGTCTAGAGTTCGGGTAAGTCACGCCCTAAACTCTATTTAGGACTTCGGGTATCGACGGACAAAATTAGGGCTGAATAGGGTTGTTAGGCGACTGTTTAGGGGTTAATTAGAGGCCGTTTAGTGATTATATTAGTGGACCGACTTGGGGATTAATTATGGCGGGTTTATGAATGAAATTATGTTGATTTCATGGCTGTTTGGTGCTGAGTTAGATGCTGGAAAATTGGGAATTGAAATGGCGGACATATGGTCCGATTTGGAGATGATTTATGTCGGTTTGATGTGCCGTGATGTGGCTGTGTTGTGGTGCCTATTAGGGCTCGAAATCTGCGTGGAAATGTTAAATTTGTGGCTGTGAGGGTGGCTGTGATTGTGGGCCCGATGGCGGCCGTGATTGTTTGTTAGTTTGTGAAATATTTAGTTGAAATGTGCTTCGTTATGTGCATGCTTGGGCCGAGTTGAAATTGATTGTCAATTGGCTGTGTTGGGTGTTTATTGAGCTTGAAAAATGCATGGTTTGATGCGTGCACGGGCCAAGAATGATTGGCCAGTATGTTGGCATGTGAGTGTGGAATGCGTGAACGCGTGAGAAAGAGATAGTGGTGTAATACGTGTGATAATGGAAATCCCTGAGGCGGTATCATTACGCGGGGAATTGATCCGTCCTGAGGCGGTACGACTACGCGGGACGATGCCCGGTATTACCGGAGGACGACCAACCTGAGGCCGTACCATTACGCGGGTTGTGTCGTAGGTGATGGGTGTTGAGCCTGAGGCGGTACTACTACGCGGGCAAGATACACGGCCTGAGGCGGTACCATTACGCGGGCCCTGAAGTATTGTTATGAGTTAGTCGCAGTGAACCTGAGGCGGTACTACTACGCGGGTCACTGGCGAGTCGAGAATGAGTTAGTCGCAGTGAACCTGAGGCGGTACCATTACGCGGGTTGTTGGCGAGTTGTGTGGAAAGAATGTGATGAGGCCGGAACGAATGCATGAAATGTAAT